ATCTAATTTTATCCTATCTAAAAAAAACTTCTATCTAATTTTGATATAAAATTACTCTTAACTAACCACTCCAAATGGTGAGGCATCAATTTTAAAATTAGTAGATTGAGATCATTTGTATTACATAATTGAATAAATTACATTGACATTTTTTTAAAAAAAGTTTGGGAAAAATATAGCAAATTTTATAGTTTGATATAACAGCTTGTTTGGTTCCAGTTTTCAAAAAATTTTATTTTTTTTTTATTTTTAGTATTTTAATGTTTTCGATGAATTTTTTTAATATTTTAAGCAATTTTTAAAAAAAATTTAGACACACCTAACATAAACACACTTAAAAAGTATAATATTTGTGAAAAAATCTTAAAAAAATACATTAAATACCAAAAAATACAAAAAAAATGAAATTTTAGTACATTTTTGTATTTTTGTGTATTTATTAATTTTTTAAAATATTTTTTTACAAATTTTTTACTATTTAGATACATCTAAGTAAAATGTATCAAAAAAAGTAAAAAAATTACTTAAACTTTAAAAATATTCACTAAAAAAAAAAAAATGAGTTTTCAAAAAATTGAATTAAAAAAATTGAAACCAAATACACTAGTTTTCATTTTAGTAAACCTAAAGAGACTATAAGAAGTTATTTGAAATGATCTAAATAAGTGTACTTTTTGACTTTTTATAAATAAAAAAATAGAAAAATGATGTGATAAAAAAAAAGATAAAAAGATAAAAAAAAATGATAATATAGGAGATGCCAAACAATCCTTAAATAATGTGAATAATGTGAAGACACAAAGCTAAATGACGACTATACCATTTCCGAGAAAATATTTCACGACAAACGTCGGCCAAATGATGGCGGCACATCTGTATAAAGAGGAAGGTGGGAAAGTTAAATAAGGTCGAAGTAATCTTATACATCAACATTAAACTCCTATCACATTTCTTTTTTAATTAAGTACATATTATTAACTTGATTGTCTTAATTTTTTTTTCCGGATGTTACAATTTAAATCACAATAATATAACAAAAGAATTAAATTTTAAAAAATTAAATATGTGATAAATCAAAATACACATCATATTAGTGTATTATTTTAAACATCTTAAATTTTTTTCCCTCACAAAAGCACTTTATATTGTTGAAGGCAAAAATGGGGGGTTGCCCCCACTAGAAATAAATAGATTTGGATGGCACATGATTGAGACCAAACAAGTCCAAAACTACAAGCCGATAAGGATTGGCATTTGATCATATCATGTGGGGAGGTGTGGTGTCAAATCATTGATCTTCACACATTGATTGGGTTTACCTCTTTCTCAGGTCCCTATTGAGTCTCTTGACCCTTCCTATAGATGGCCCATTTTATTAAATTGAAAAATGCTACCAATTATAAAAATGTATTTTGAAACTTGTTTTAAAAATAAAGTGTTATAATGTAAATTTAAAGGTCATATCTAGAATAAATGTGATTTATTGATTTATTTTCCTTGATTGTTTTTTGAATAATTTTTTTTGAGTTTATGGTATTGTTATATTAAATTTGCTAGCTTCATTTGTTTTGAGAATAAAGAAATTGTTTAGGAATAAATTAGAAACAAAAATGTGTCGATTTTTTATATAAAATTGTGTGGTATCTTGTAGTCTCTTTATTTACAATGGAATTTATTTATTCAATAATGTTTGGTAGCTCGAGAGATGCCCCCGAATCCCCCTAATCCTAAAACGACGTCGTTTCGACGTTTGACTTTTTTTTTTTTCCTTCCATTTTCGTTCCTTTCTTCCATTTTCCTTCCTTCCTTCCATTTTCCTTCGACTCTGCAGAGGGAGAGAAAGAGAAGAGAGGGGAAAAGGAGAACAGGGGAAGAGAAGCTCACCGATCATCGCCTGTGCCTCCGCCGCCGCCGATCGTCAGCTCGCAGCCGCCGATCGTCGCAGCAGCAGCAGCAGCTCGTCGCCTCCGCCGATCGTCAGCTCGTCGCCTCCGCCTCCCGCCTCCGCCTCCAGCCCCATTTGTTGGGCCCCCTCCAGTCCCTCCTCCTCCCCCTCCCCCTCCGAGAGGTCACTGGGAGACACCATTCTCCGGCGCGTCCGGAAGTAACTCACAAAACAGCCGATTCCAACCCCGAGGCCAAAGAACCTTTACTCCACTATACATGCCTCTGACCAAAGTTCTAGGAATACTGATCAGAAAGAATCATTTAAAACCCCTAGAACCAAAGCCATTACCAAATCCACTTCCCCCCTCATATGACCCGTCAAAATACTGTGCATACCACCAACAACACGGTCATGACACCGACCGTTGTTACAGACTACGTCATGAGATCCAAGATCTTATGGATAAAGAATTATTTTACTACATAAAGAAAAAAAAACTACATAAATAATTTTTCTTCTTTTAACTACAAAAAGAAAAAAAAAAATTATTTTATGTTATATTATTAAAATAATCTTTATAGGCGTCACTTTTTTTTTTCTTCTATATTTAAAGGTATAATTTTAGCCTTTGTTTGAGAAGTGAGTTGGCTTTTTAAATTTTTAGCTTTTTTGACTATATGAGCTTGGGGTCAAAAGTTTAGTTTGGGAAGGACTTTTGACTTTTTGACTTTTTTAATTTTTTTGTGAGAGAAGAGTGTAATAATTATGAGGTTAGATGAGATATTTTGTCTGTTGTGGCTCATGACCCTATTCTGTTTTTTATAGCTCATCGAGCCAAAAAAATCCAATAAGCCCTTGCCAAACTAACCCTTAATATTATGAAAAATAATAATTAATTAATTTCTTTTATCTCCTAATCATTCCACGTTTTAAGAGTTTCAAAATGACGGTTATTTGTCATTTCTTTTCATCAACAATGATTCATCCTCCTTTTTCCCCCACCCCCTTTGATCCCCTCTCTCTCTCATTGGTTACATTTTTTTTTTCTTGTTCTTTTTTTTTCTGCTCCTCCAATCACCACCCGCCACGTGGCAAGGGGGTGAGGGGGTGACCCCCAAAAGGGAGTCCCAAGCATTATTCTTCTTTTCATTTCACTCCATATCTCCTATACCAATACAATTTTCTAAAATTATTTTTTTTAAAAAAAGATAAACTAAACAAATTTTCATACTTTTTATCTCAAAAATTACTTTACAAATACAAATCAAACACACTGTATTTCTAAATCATGCGATCCATATGAGCTATAATAGATTCGAGCCACCCATTTTTTTTTCTTTATTAATCTGTATAAATGATATATATACAAATACATACATATATATATATATATATATATATTTTCAAATCACTCAATCCAAATGAATAAGATAATAAAAGAATGCAATATAACCATAATTAATTATAAAACATTACTCAATATGTTTGGTTTTAATTTTTTGAATTTAATTTTTTAAAAATTGAGTTTTATTTTTTATTTTTTTAGTGAATAATTTTAAAATTTTACACAAGTTTTTACTTTTTTATATGCACATTACTTAGATGTATTTAAAAAGTAAAATATTGTAAAAAAATATTTTAAAAAATTAATAAATACATAAAAATTTGAAAAATGTATTGAATTCTCGTATTTTTTTTAATATTTTTGATATTTAGTGAATTTTCTAAATATTTATTTAACAAATATTATACTTTTTAAGTGTATTTGTTAGATGTATTTAAAATTTAAAAAATTTAGTAAAAGCAAAAAAATTAGAAAAATAAAAAATTTCAATTTTTTGAAAAGTGAATCCTAAAATTCCAAACCAAACAAGCTGAATATTTTTTAAATGTTAAAGAAGATCAATTGTAATTTAATCATGTATTATTTTTATGGATTTGGTTTCTCTCATGTTCATATCTCAATATGAGAGAATTTGAGAGGATCGTAGAATCCACCACAGGTTTTGTTTCAATGATTCAAACCATTTACTTTTTAAAACTTGTGAGTAGAATATTCATGTAAAAAATAAAGATAATCGAATACTGGTAGTCATATATTTGAATCAAATTTGTATTACAAAAAATAAATAGTCGTTCTTGAAATTATATCCACCATCTATTTTTTTAAAACAAATATAATTTGAATATATAGTTATCGATGTCTAATTATTTTTTTTTTGCACAAATATTTTATGAAATTTTTTTTAAGAGAAATTTTATCCTGACTCAGAGAAATTTCGATCCCAACTCAGAGAAATTTCTTTAAGTTGGGGCCGAAATTGGATCTCTCCTACTGTACAAAGTTAGATGAGGATGTTTTACTAATTTTTTTAATATTTTACTCAATGAGTCTAAAAATATAAATAATTTAAATTATCAAAATCAATTATAAAATGAGTCTTAGCCTGTGTTTGGCAAGAGAGTTTGCAGGCTTTTTTGACTATTTTAGCCACAAAAAACAAAATAGGCTATTTTAGCCATAACAAACAAAACATCACATCCAACCCATAATCATTACATTCTTCTCTCACAAAAAAACTCAAAAAAGTCAAAAAGTCATTCCCAAACCAAACTTTTAAGCCTTGCAAAAAAGTCAAAAAGCCAAAAAACTAACCCACTTCTCAAACGGAAGCTAAATGCTTGCTTAAATTAAAATGATAATTTAAAAAAGAGTCAAATTATATTTTTATTTATTATTTTTTTTGGCGGGGGAGTAAAGTAAAGTTAAATTCTTACGACAACAAAATTGTAGTACTGCTTTATAAATCACTTTGCATATTTCGGCCACTTTGTCTCGCTCTATATAGCTCCCCACCCCTCCGCCATTAAATTCCAAACTCCAAACTCCAAAAATTATCAAAATCAATTATAAAATGAGTCTACTAAATGCTTGCTTAAATTAAAATGATAATTTAAAAAAGAGTCAAATTATATTTTTATTTATTATTTTTTTTGGCGGGGGAGTAAAGTAAAGTTAAATTCTTACGACAAAAAAATTGTAATATTGCTTTATAAATCACTTTGCATATTTCGGCCACTTTGTCTCGCTCTATATAGCTCCCCACCCCTAAATTCCAAACTGCAAATCCCATCTCTCTCTCTCTCTCTCTCTCTCTCTACTGACACCAATGGACCCAGTACAACATGCGGTGTTCCGGCCACCGGAGACTCCAAGAGAGCCAATGGAGTTCCTATCTCGCTCTTGGAGTGTCTCTGCTCTCGAAGTCTCCAAAGCTCTGGCACCACCTCATATGCTCGCTAAAACCTTCAGCGGCGGACCACTTAAAGGCGGCGGCGGCTGTGGTCATGAAGTCATACCGGAGGATCTCGCCGGAGAAGCTGAGGAGGCTGCGACTGTGTCCGGAAACCCATTTTCGTTTGCTTCTTCTGAGACTTCTCAGCTCGTTATGGAACGTATAATGTCACAGTCTGTAAGTATATACATATATATAGCAACAAAGCCAAATCCATATGTGGACAAATCTCTTCTTACTCTCTCTCTCCTCTATCTTTCTCTCTCTAAAATGGGTTCCTGTATTTTTGGTATCTGACTTTAATTTGTCAATTTCATGTCATTTTTTTATTGCATTTGATTCTTTATTTCTCTGTCAAAATAGTTGGAATATTTTTGACATTTGACTTCAATTTGTGAATTTCATTCCATTTTTTTATTGCATTTGATTCTGGGTTCATGAACACTTGGAAATTGGTTTGGTAAGTTTTGTTGTATGTTTCATTGTCTCAAATAAGAGCTATATCACTCTCGCTTAGAAGTTTCTAAACTAGTCACACTGTGTTTGGTTGAGAATTTGGGAAGCAAGTGAAATGTAAATAAATTTTATCTAATTTTACATACTTTTTCCTTTTCTATTTTTAAATTCCTTCTCAAATTCTCAAACCAAATACAGCGTGATTATATTTCGTGTTGATTTTGTGGTTTTTTTGCTTTTGTTTTTTCTTTGGAATCGCTTGTGGGTTTTACGTTTCTTGGTGGAAAAGCGAAAGTGTTTCTCGAAACAACCAAAGCGTTTTGGGAACATTTTAATTTTCTAGCAGTGACTTTCTATTTTCTCGAGAAACATTAAAAATTACAGAAACAGGGAAGTCTTAATCTGGGTTTTGTATGCTTCGTTTTCAATTTTATTTTATACTACTAATTATTTGTTTAATCATTCCAATTTCTCTCTCTTGGAACCCAATTGTTTGTTAATTTCATTTCTTTAACTCATCTTTAAGACTTCAATGATGACTATATTTGCCTTTACACTGTATATTTATATGGTTTTGGTGGTGTACAGCAGGAAGTATCACCACGCACTTCTGGAAGACTTTCGCACAGCAGTGGCCCCTTGAACGGTGGCTCTCTCACTGACAGTCCCCCTGTCTCTCCCTCCGAAATTGATGACAAGGTTCCTCTCTCTTGCCCTCTCTCTCTCTCTCTCTCTCCTATTTGGGTGGGACTTGTGTAGTTTTATTTAATTTTTCTCATTTTGGCCAGAAAGCACGAATTCTGAAACCAGATAGAGAGAGAACATTATCTCAGCTTTCTCTGCACCCAACAATGTCTTTGTGTACACTTAACACTCCATATAGCTAGTCATGCGTCACTCTCTTCTATAAAAAAAAAGGCATATATCATTGGTCTTTGTAATTTTAGCAATGTTTCATTTTAATATCCGTAATTTCAATTTCATAATACTTTATTTTGTGTTTTTATATAGTCATTTTGTTATTATTGGTTAGTAGATAGACCAAAAAAATACCACCAATTACTCATGACTCAAAAATGAAAGTTGAAAATTTTAAACCCGCATTCACTTCTACTTGATCCTTCTAGTTTTGCACATTTCGTTTAGAAATGTAAGTAGTTGTACACATATACTGTACCATCCACTGATAGAGATGTTAGTGTGATCTCTTGGTGACACTCCTAATTTATCACACCTTGAGATGGTCCAATTATCTAGTGGTGTCAAACCAAAGGATAGAAACATTTATGAATTATGGTCCGTGTGACCACAAGGTGGGTGGGCTTCATCGCACACCAAGCACATTTTAGAAATTCAATGCTTACACTCATTAAATTGCACTGTTGATGAAGACCGAGCTAGGCCTGGTGAATAAGGAGCTCGCAATAGTATGTTGCACAAGTTAAAATTTTAGTTCTCTTTCTCCTACTATTTGTCACAAAAATGAAAATTGCTCTCTTAATTTCACTGGCAATGTTTTAAATATCAACTATTACGTTTCGGGATTTTGGTCTTTCAATACGTTATTCATCAATATATCGGGATTTTGGTCTTCCAATATGTTATTCATCAATATATCGGCCGATAAAAAATTACCATATTACAATATTGATACATATCTCAATGCAACTTTTTATAACTATGGTCACTAGTAGAGATGGCATTAGGAGATAACTATAGAGGGCCATGACCCTGTTTCTGTAAACAATTATGTTTGCCATAACACTTCTGAAGTATATATTTTATTTCATAAACACAATGACCTCTTAGTATTAAAGATAAATATCTCATTTATTTCTCATCTTGCATTTTCTTTTTATTTTCTACCAAAAAAATTTCTTCATCCTATTAGGAGATTGTTTTTATGGTATTGAATTTTTTTTTGTGTGTATATATATAATTTATATATCATATTGTACACACATGTATGTTTGTATATAGGGTGAAAAAATATTATTTGTCTGTCCCTCCACTGATAAAATCCTAGTTTTGTCCCTGACCGAGTACCAATGGCTGATGGATTCACTTGTATGCAGTTTTCTCGGCTGAACAACCAAGTGAATGCCCAGTACGGTTGGGCCACTGGTGGAGGCAATGTTGTTGGAGGTGGTGGGAAGACTGTGGGGAGGTGGTTGAAGGACAGGAGAGAGAAGAAGAAGGAAGAGACGAGAGCTCAGAATGCTCAGCTCCACGCTGCTGTCTCGGTTGCTGGGGTTGCAGCAGCTATGGCAGCGATTGCTGCTGCCACTGCTGCCTCTTCTGGGTCAGGAAAAGACGAGCATATGGCAAAGACTGACATGGCTGTTGCTTCAGCTGCTGCTTTGGTGGCTGCACAATGCGTTGAAGCCGCTGAGGCCATGGGGGCTGAGCGTGAACACCTTGCTTCTGTTGTTAGTTCTGCTGTTAATGTCCGGTCAGCTGGAGATATCATGACTTTGACTGCGGCTGCAGCCACTGGTATGTAAATTAATGTCGTTTGGTGGGCAAATTCCCTCTTCCCAAATTATTTGTTCATTTTTAACATTCTTGCCCTTTAATCGAGTTGATAAATAATTTATTTTCTTTATAAAAAAAAAAAAAATCTGTACAAATTTAAAAGATCTTAATTAGTTCTTGTAAATAAAATCTTTCAATTTGTTGGAAAAAAATAAATTAAAATAGACGATTTTTTTTATTTTTTATTAATGGCTAGCATAGTGAAATGGACATACAACTTGGGATGGAGAAAGTAATATTTCTCGATCTATAGGTTAGTAAGTACAATTGTGTTAATGGGACATATACTAATTAATTATTTTAAGTAACCATATTTATGGAAATTGTCAATTGTGTAAGCATTTTCTGAAAACATGTTTGTACCAATGTTGTAATAGCTCTGCGCGGGGCGGCTACATTGAAGGCAAGGGCATTGAAGGAAGTGTGGAATATAGCAGCTGTGATTCCAGTGGAGAAAGGAATGGCCGTTGGTGGTGGCGGCGGCGGCGGCGGCGGCGGTAATGGTAGCAATGGTAGCTCTAATGGTAGTTCGAATGGTAGTTTCAGTGGCGAGCTTGTCCCCGAAGAGAATTTTCTTGGCATTTGCAGTCGGGAATTACTTGCCCGAGGTTGTGAACTCCTTAAAAGAACTCGGAAAGGTATCTATTTCGTTTCATATGGTTAAGCTGGTTGTCATTTGGGCATATAATATTGTTTTAAACACAAAATGTGAGGATATAATATTTGATTCTTTTGTTGGTGCAGGTGATCTTCATTGGAAAATAGTGTCTGTTTATATCAACAAAACAGGCCAGGTTTGTATGCTTTTTGCCTTCAACCCTTGATTTTAATGTTCTTAACATGGAGGGGAGTTAAGAAGAGCAAGAAAAGCAAGCTTATGTAAATGAAAACACAAAATAGAAAACGAAAACAAAACCAAATAGGCCCCTGCGAATGAAGAACTCCACCAAGTTTAACTGTTTACATGTAACGCGGGGAAAATATAAACGAGAGCACCACGTTGGTTTTGATATGTATGATGATGTTTGTGCCTTCATAGATTTTTAGAGAGAATGTGGGGGCTAGTTGCTTTTAAAGATTCATGACAAAAGTTGAAATTATGCAAAACAGAACAAAATGATAATTATGGATGGTAGACCAAATGAATCTACCGCCCTTTTTTTTTATATATATATTCTTTCATTGCAAGTCTTTAGTTTCTTAAAATTGTTTCTGGATTACGGTTTCAATTATTGGCCAATAAGTATCGAGATTTTGGACTTTCTATATTGATATATCAGCCAATACTATTTGATATCAATGAATGTATGACCTTATTACTGATACCGATACAAATTTTGATACCGTTATTTAAAACAATTTTCTGAATGGCAGGTGATGCTGAAGATGAAGAGTAGGCATGTTGCTGGGACCTTCACAAAAAAGAAAAAGAGTATGTCTATTGCTTTTGTCTTTCCTAGTGTGAAAACTGAAATGTAGGGGTGTGTCTTATTGGGATTTGAGAAAGGAGTTGTGTCAGTAAAGTGGAAAAAAGAATTTTTAATTTTCTTCTTTTTGAATTTTTACAGATGTGGTGTTGGAAGTTTGCAAAGATATCCCAGCGTGGCCCGGCCGCCACTTGCTCGAGGGTGGCGAACACCGCCGATACTTCGGATTGAAGACTGTTATGCGCGGTGTTGTCGAATTCGAGTGCAGAAACCAGAGGGAGTGTGATATATGGACTCAAGGTGTCTCGAGGCTTCTCTCCATTGCAGCTGAAAGGAACAATAGACATAGAATTTGAAGTTTCAGTTAGGATTGTGGCTAGAATGGGGAATTTGGTATAGAATTCATGGCCCATATTAGGCCATGGACTAACCAATATGTTTTCAATTTTTGTGGGGTTGTTTTCTTATTTTGGGTATATTAGAGAGAATTGGGAGAGAGTTGATTGTGTGACCTCCTAGTAACGTACACGAATTCTGACTAGTGAGATATATGATCATCTAGTGAGGTACATGAATTCTTGGTACTGATACGGTGTGGTGGGGTTGTGTTTTTTGGTGCTCCTATTGTAAAAAAGAGAAATTAAAAGTTCTAGTTATCCAAATGGGTCTCTTTTACTTTGAAGCACATGTTTTGGTCTTTTGTTTTTGTTTTTGAAATGTTAAAGTAAGGTTTTGTGAATGAAAGCAACAACCACCATGTGATCAAGTCTTTGTTTTTACACAATGTTTGAGGAATGAAAAGAAGTATCTTGGACTAGGCAGTCAAAAAGAGGAGGAAGGAATAAAGAAAGAAATCCCATTTTGAGTAAAGAATAATAATTGAAGATAAAGACAATGCCCCTTGATTTTTTGTTGCGTTGTTAAATTCATGTGGTGGGCTTAACATTCTCTCTTTAATTGTTTATTGGAGAGCTTAGATTGAGGTTCTTGATTATGTGAGAACATGATTTGTCTTTATCTGTTATATTCCACTTTATAAATTAAGTTTTATTTGGATTTAGTGAATCATGAATTCATAAATATTTTATTTATAAAATAAAGTGGAACGAGTCCCACTGATAAAGTGGGATGCAAAAAATGGGTTGAGCCTGGTGGTGATTCAATGGAGATGTCTCATTTGGGCTTGGTATTAGTGATCCAAATTAATCATTTTATAGAATTTGTCAAATGACAAATAAATATGTAATCTGATTATGTGATTATTAATATTTATTTTTTTATTTTATTTTATTTTTTTTGTAAATAATTGTCAGACGAGTCGTACAAGATAAACAAATTATATTATCAAGGTGAACTTCTTCACTTACAACTAAAGTATAAAAAAGATTGTTTTTAAATATTTCTTTCAAGATGTTGAATTAAATTATATATTATGTTTTAGTTGTAGAAAAATTCTATTCTTTCACTTTTTTTATACAAAATATTCAATGAAAATGATAGAACAATATCATAAACACTTCCAAGAATTGGCGGATGTCCGCTTCTTGTTGCCGGCGATGTCGCCAGCGTTCCAACTCTTGTAGTAGCGCCTCCATCCTCTTCAACGCATAAAGAATGGAATAGTGAGGTGAGATAATCCTTAATCCATCCTAGAAGCATGATTAGTTCAACTAATATATTGGGCATGATACATCAAACCTACCAGATAATTTTTAAATCGAGTCGGTGGTACTAAAGAGGTGTTTGATAACATAATTTAACATTTAAAATTGAATGCATTAAGTGATAATCAATTAAGGTAATTTGATAACCATAATTGATATAACTTAAAAGTTTCAATGCCTCTTAAAATATATGTTAAAATTTTTTAAAAAATAAAATTTAAATCGTATGAAACTTACTTAATTCTAATTGAATTTATAAATATTAAATATAGTTATCGATATACACTATTATAAACTCACCACCATTATCACTATCACCACTGCTGCTACCATTACCACCACCATCACTACTACTACCACCACCACTACTATACAACCACCGCCACTATTATACCACCGCCGCCGCTGCCACTACTACCACTACTATTACCACCACAACCACCACCATCATGTCACCGCCACCAACACCACTACCACTACTACCACCACCACCATTACTACCAGCACCTTCATCACAAATTTTGCCATAAGTATTACCATAATTTTACTACCATTATCATAGCTACTTGTCACAAGCTGCTAAATTTCCTATAGCAAAAATCCCCTACATGGAAGCTTGGGAGCATAGAGATTAATGGAAGGATATAGAACTTCCTAGCTCATTCCAACACTTGAGAGAACATGGAGAATTCTAGAACATCCTTGAGTATTCAAGATACTTAAACTTGTAAATATCTTGTATAGATATTTCTATAGCATTCTAGATTATTGTTGTAGCTTGTAAGAAAGGCTTTCAAGGGAAGCCTCTCCATGTATTTCTTGGTGGCTTCTAGAGTTTAGGAGAGGTTAAGAGTGCCTATAAATAGGGGAGGAGCTCATTTGCTCCAAACCATCCAAGAGTTGTAAAGCTTTCTCATAGTGAATACAAGGCATTCTCTCAAACTCTCTTGTGTTCTTCTTACTTGTCTTTCTTCTAAGTTTGTGAGTTAGGCCGACTTAGCATCATCAAGTGAAGCTTGAGATTGTCTAAGTGTCGCACGGATAGCTTAGAAACAACCAAGGCTGTGACATGTGGTATCAAAGCAGGTTTGAGACAAGAGAAGAAAAGGTAACATGTCTTCTGGTGTTGAAGAAATGGTGACTGAGCAAACCCATGGAAGGGACAACACTAGAACAGGGAAGGATAAGTACCAGGGGAGCTGTGACCATTAAAGGTAGAGGTGCCAAAGCCAAAGCCTTTTGACAGAAAGAGAGATGCCAAAGAAGTGGACAACTACTTATGGCACATGGAAAGATACTTCGAGGTGATGGTAGTAACCAAGTAAGATGCCAAGGCACGCACCGCAGTCCTTTACCTCGTCGATACAGTAACACTATGGTGGCGTCGTAGGCATGTTAACATTGAAAAAGGTACGTGCATCATAGACACATGAGATGACTTTAAGAAAGAACTTAAGAAGCTTTATGGTAGTTCTAGGAGCAAATACAAAAGTTCTGTACGGAGAATGCGACGAGGTCATCGCCAACATAGATGGGGGAGAATGTCACAAGCTGCTAAATTTCCTATGGCAAAAAACCCCTACATGGAGCTTGGGAGCATAGAGGTTAATGGAATGATCTAGAACTTCCTAACCCATTCCAACACTTGAGAAAACATGGAGAATTCTAGAACATCCTTAAGTATTCAAGACACTTAGACTTGTAAATATCTTGTATAGATATTTCTATAGCATTGTAGAATATTCTTGTAGCTTGTAAGAAAAGCTTCCAAGGAAAGCCTCTCCATGTATTTCCTAGTGGCTTCTAGAGGCCAAGAGTGCCTATAAATAGGGGAGGAGTTTATTTGCTCCAAATCATCCAAGAGTTGTAAAGCTTTCTCATAATGAATACAAGGCATTCTCTCAAACTCTCTTGTGTTCTGCTTACTTGTATTTCTTCTAAGTTTGTGAGTTAGACTAACTTAGTATCATCAAGTGAAGCTTAGATTGTCTAAGTGTCGTACGAATAGCTTGAAAATAACCAAGGCCATGGCATATTGCTATTGCTACCACAACCACCACCATTATACTGTCACCACCACTATTATCACCATCACAATATAAAAATTAAAATATACAATTTTAAAATAATAAATTTTAAATTTGATATAATATATATTAAATAATTTATTTTTAGTTCAGTACTTAAATTTTTGTCAAACAGTTTTTCATTTAAAAAAATTCAATGTTTAATTTTCAATACTTAACTTTCAGTCTAAAATTTTTAATTTTCAGCTCTATCAAACAACACCTAGGTAGGATCCTTAACATGAATTACTGGCTTGGTCTGAAAAAAATATAAAAAAAAAATTTCCAATTTCATCAATATATACATCTTAGGTTAACTGGGCAAGTAAAGTAAACGCCCAAACCAAAGGAAAAATGGGCCCTTTAAATGATCTAAGCACGGCCCACTGCACACTTGAAAGCTAACCCAACCCATCATTACATTCGGCAGAACCCAGCCACTTCAAAATTAACCACCTTATTTATTATTATTATTATTATTATTATATAACAAAATAAATCTTAAATTTTTAATTTTATTAATTTAAATTCTAATCTTTTAATTTAGGGCAATGCACCAATAAATCCTAAATTTGTATCTTTCGAACCAGTTGGTCCTATCTTATATCTTATAGTCCAATAGGTCCCAATCTAATGTTAATGACCAAATTATCTGTGTTACACTGCGTTTGGGAACTTATGGTAAGGGTAAATGTGGATTTCCCCAATTGCGAATTTACGTCTATGCCCACAGCTGTAGAAGAAGGGTTTTTTTGTTTTCCCTCCAAAGAGATCGGAATGAAAGAGTCATATATGGAAATGGCTCTATTTTCTGATGTTAATGGCGTAATTTTAAACCCTAAACATTACACATCCCCTTCCTTGCTGATACGTTTACGTCGGTTGTTTGAAGAGGCCGTGTCACCGTTGTGTGTATTCTACGTCGGCTGACAGAACATTATCTATTCATCAACGGTGATTGTGTAAACTACAAATGGCGTCAGATGCGTATTTCATTATGATGTATTAACACTGCTGTCGTGTGTGTTGTTTTACATTGATGTATTCGAATAGTGTAAATTGTATGAAATATTATTACGATCAAGTTATTGTTAAATTTGTGTCGCGGTATTGGTCCAAGCGAATGGGAGGTTGGGTTTTGGTAAGTGCATGTTTGTTCCATGTGGTCGTGTGGTGTGTGTTTGAAATTTGTGGGGCTGAACTCTGATGGTTGTTGAAGTATGTAGTGGGTTTGGTGTGTTTGAAGATTGGAGCTCTGTTTTTTTTTTTTTTTTTTTTTGGGGGTTGGAACATTGGAGCTCTGTTTTTTTTGTTATTCACAGTGAATCTGTAACTGTAATCCTTTGTTTATTGTGTTTGTGTCATAGTTACAGTGACACATTGATAGACCATCATGCACAAACCATAACAAAAAACAAAAAATAAAAAACAAAAAAATTACAACGGACAAATAAAAACACACCAGAATGAAAACCACAGTGCAAAAAATACACCAAAACGAATAAAACCCATTCACTTGCTGCGATTGAGCAATCCACACCAGAACGAACCTAGGAAAATGACACCAAAAATCGTTGTTCTGATTGGGTAATCCACAGCAAATAACCGAAGCAAAATGGCACCAACAAATTTATGTAATGATGCATAAATGGATACCACCAGACATGGCCAACAACACAGTCAAAATTACCACAATCTTTGCGGGGAAAAAATACGGTGAATGTTAATCAAAATCCCAGGCAACACGTTACCATTCCTTATCCACTACCAAACAGAATATCCCATTTAGGGAATCAAACCAAACAAGGGTACAAATGTAAATTGAAATAGGATGAAATCACCCACAAAACTCTTGCCAAAAAAATAGGACTAAATGGTTTACAAAAAAATTTCTAGGACTAGCTGGTATAACTTTCTTCTATATAGGATTTATGAGTAATTTTTCCTTTAATTTATTTTTAATTTAAATTATTTGTCTATTTTTCTTAAGTAAAATCGACAGAAGAAAA